GGAAGGTAAAAAGCACTCAAGTTGCATTTTTTTAGTAGGTTTTTCAGCTTCAGACCTTAAAATTACTAAAAACCTAAAAATCTTTGGGTCACAACCAGATGTAATATATTATTGTGTCTGGCTACTTCAGCATCCCACTTGGCTAAATCACTTTCAAAAATATTTCCTCTTTGGTGATGGCTATGAAGTTCTATCTGCATGTCACAAAAATGCCAATTGCCTTGGAGCACTGTCAGCAATTGTTCTATACTGTTTGTAGAAAGTGTACCTACATGTCTGAACAGGAACCACACTTGCTCCTAATTCATTTGATTTGCAAAGTTGCACTTCCTGTGTGTTTTGGTTCCCAATGAATACAAAATTATCCTAGGAGTTTGAAGTCACCTTTCTCTTAGTCATACAGTATCACAGCTCTCAGTAAGCTACAAGAAGCCAGCTGAACATCTCTGCCAGGTGCATTTGTCTTACTTCCCCTTTTGGATGAATGAATTAGCAAGGTGTGGTTTATAGTAAATACTTACAAAGGTTATGGGCTTAGTCTCTGTAACTCTGTAACAATAGGACTTATTTCTGTGAATACTTTGGGTAAAATGCTATAGGACTCAGAGATCTGGCTCACTGTTATAAGAAAATCCCTCTCAATCTCATAGTTCCCAAATTCTCCATCAATATCAGAAGTGTTTTGAAAACTAGGAATAGAAGCTGCTCATCATGTAATCAGTTTGGGTATTATTTTGGAAAATGAGAAATAATAACAACATCATTACTGTGAAGGGGAGGAAAATGTAGAAGTAGAATATAGAATTAAAATGAAAGGCTTTGATGTTTCCTTTCCAATGAAAAATAAATAATGCCAGAAATGTGTCTGATCTTTAAAATAGATTTTGTTTTTAAGAGCAGTTTCAGATTCCCAGTGAAATTACACAGAGTTTCCATACACCCGTTCTACCACACCCCCCATCTGTCCCTCAGCCTTTCAGCCTTTCCCACTAACAATTCCCCCGCACCACAGTGGTGCATTTGTTACCGTCATTGAACTTTCCCGGTCACATCACTATCAACTAAACGCCTCATCCTTGGTATTGCACTCCCTCATTTTTTTATTCCCATCTAGACAACAGAATTCATGCTGGCAACAGGGAAACAGCCTTCTGCTGCCCCTCTGCCTGCTTACTGATGGGACTGTGCCACTTACCAAATATGGCTTTGGTTTTGACTCAGACACAAAAAGTATAATATTCTTCCATAAACCTACTTTTATCAGCAGAAAAGCCAACTTAGCTGTTGGCTACTTAGCATCACCTTAGTTTCCCCACTTGCTCTGGCATTCCTGTTGCCCTTACTCCACTCTACTTTGTCCTCTCTTCATACAGCTTACCACTTTCTAATGCCTTGCGTCATCCACTTATCCATTGGTTTATTGCCTCCAAGTTTACTGTCTTTCTATTGTTGTTTACTGACATTGCCCCAGTATTTAGGATGGTGATTGGCACATAGAATACACTTAATGGTTGCTGAATGAATGAATGCTTTCTAAAAGGCAGGGATTTAAAAGTGATTTTCACACATAGTTTGGAAGCTCAATTAGTCATAACCGACCAAGCATGGCAAACGATGCAGGAAAAAGTACTCCATTTCCACCAGCTACTGGTGTTCTATCATGTTGCCAGGCTCCCTTGGGATCCCAGTGAGACCAACATGGCCATTCTGTCACGTGAATAGGCTGGAGGGCACCATGAAATCTTGAAATTTGTGACATCCCAACTCCATTGGGCCACACAAACTTGTACTCAGCCTGGACACACAATAGGAGAGCACAGTTGCTCCAGGCTGAGTGCAGCATGGAAGGAGGCCTTAGACAGGAGTAATGCAATGTTGGGGACCAGGAGACACCTCCCCAGGTGACCAGGGGACAGACATGGTGACCATTAGGAGGTTTAGTTGCCACACGGTTCCCTACTCTTCTCCCACAGGCTCTGCTGATGAAGAAACGAAACCCAGTAGCTTATGCACATAATGACAAATACCTATCATGTGAATTCAAATTCTACAATAAAAAATAGGAAAATGTAAGTGTGTAAAAGAATTGTGAGTTTTTAAATAAATGGATAAAACAAAATAAAACAAAGTTGAGTGACAGAAGTACGAAGTTTCTTTTTACACACAAGATAAAAAAAGGCTCTAGCTAGAGGTTGAAAAGAAGGTGGCAAAAGATGAACTATATCTGAGAGATGACAGCAAAGTATAGAGGAGGCTATTAATCAAAAGGGGGCCAGTTTCCCTGAAATTTCCTGACATCCAACTGTGGGGTTAAGAAAAATGACATGGGTATTGTATGCTACGCAGCATATAGCACCTTGCACTTATTTGTATCCATGAGCCCAGCTATGTTATGGGATCTGAATATGAACACATAATGCATCCTACATGAACCACTGGCTTATGTAACCCTTATTCCCCAGGTGCACAGACAAGAACTGTGTGTGTGTGTTGCCTTCAGAACAGTGCCTGGCACCAGACAGACACACAGTACATATTTCAGTAAATTAATAAATGGTAAAAAGTTACTCCCCCCACTCCTACTTCCTACTCCACTATAATTTCAAAAAACGCTATTCTTTATCCCATATGGGAGAACAAATGTGCCTCTCCTTCCCTTCCCAGGTACCATACACAGGTAAGGGAAAGAAAGGAGCAGAGGTGCCCCCTTTACTCCCATAGAACCAGCCATGCTACTTCACATCACTCAAGTTTACAGAGTTTGCCTCTTCATTATGATTCAATAACTATGACCAGATGTGGATAACTGTTCAAACCATGGGAAATCAGGGTAAGATCCCCTTCTTTCAGCCATGTTGGGTTCATTTACTCTATTTGGAGCAGGGTATGTCAGCCTTAGTGTCAACGTGGCTTCGGTCATTCCAGAAAGAAACTGGTGAATGGGTGTGTGCTAAGGGGCCATCCATTTTTCAATGTTAATTCAAGTACCATGCACATCAGCCTCATTGCTAATCCTGATCACATGAGCTGGCTTCATCCTACACCACAGCGAGGGGTAGAATCAGGACAGAGCACCACTGCCATAAGTTTCAGACTAAGCCCAACAAAAGAAAATTTGGACCAATTTACTATGTTGGATTAAGACCTAAAAAATGAAATCCTCACAGAATTTATTCAAGAAAACAGAATAACATCCCCAACAATTAGGAAGCTTTTAGTTATACTACCATATATCAGCATAATATTCTGAATTACCTGTTTTATTACTTGTAAAATTGTCCAGTTTTTGGAATAAGAAAGTATGTACCAAGTGTCAAAGAGAGCACACTCAATGAGTAATTTACAGTAATTTAGGAGTTTTCTAAAAACACATTTTTAAATTCAAGACATTGCCAAGCAAATGACCAAGAAAATTAAAACTGCAACTAAATTAGAGCAATTACATAACTCTCAAGTTGGAGACGTCAGTGTTTAAGAACGTACAGAATTAAAGAAAAATCAGTAAGTACAAAAGACAAAATTAATGTCTATATTTACATTTTGGTATATTAGTGTAGAACAACAGCTTCCATTAATGAGCACTTGAGGCAATCTGTCCATTTTCTGAATATAGCTTTGTAGGGCTCAACCATCAGCTGTCGTAACGTGGACCCTTTCTCAGTGGAGGAACTTTTACCACCCAGGGTCACTTAGAGTTAAATAAAGAAGTAAGCCTGCATCTCTCTGGAATGCAGGGATTCTGTAAATCTGTCTCATGGGTCACTCAGGTGAGCACGCTTTTCAACTGGGGAATAGCATGCCTTCCAGAAGAATGTATGCACTCATGCAGCGTCTTTTCTAAAAGCTCAAGTCTCAGAGCTCTAAATATAAACTTCACATCCAATATAAAGCACTGAAGCATGGGTTCCTTATAAATCTCTCATCGCCCACACTATTATCATGATTTCCTCCACATCCCAACTTCTGATTCCTTCCAAACCCCCAATATGCTTGCATGAACCCCACCCTGCACTATCTCTCTCCACTTGAGCCAAATCTGGCCTCCATGTTTTGTCTGCTCAGCAGGAGAGTGATTTCAACAATCTCCCACTCTTTATAAGATTGGTTTATTCCTCCCAAAATAATAATTGGTTTCAGCTGAACCTGGTTGCCAGTCCTCGGCATAGTTCCACTCTGGTACTAGCGAGGAGAGCAGACGCTTCCTGTTGCAGTATTCTTTAGAGCAAAGAATCTGCACTAAAGGCCTAGTATAGAACTTTTGCATGGACGTCTCTAAAATATGGTTAGATTTCAGTAACTAGATTCTCAAAGAGATGGACTAAAAATGTGATTATGAGAAGGTTCCTATAATAGTAAATTACTTTTAAATGGTTCACACAAGTTATTCCCCAATTTATCAAACCATAAGAAGTCATGAGAACATAAAATCTATGAGAACAATCAGTGCTATTCCCTGCAGACATACAGAGAAGCAAACAGGAAGCAGAATGTTATCTTAATGTTTTACAACTTAGCTTTGAAGGAATCACAAGCACTGACAGGTAAGAAAATATATTAGCTTAGAGGTAGAAAGATTACAGAAATCATTCCAGAAAATCTCTGTTCACAATGGTACAGAGAAATCAAACCAGACTTTTTTTATAAACAGAATAACCAAGATGGTGCACATGAAACACAATCAAAACGGCAGGATCTTGGATTACAATAGGGAAGGTGCCACTGTGAATCTCAAGATTTCCGACATGCACTTGAAATCCTCCACTCATTATGTCAGAACAGTATTGGAACCATCTGTGAGTATTTCCACCATCACAGCCTTGGGTTATCAGATTTGTAAATCCCAGCTATGCTTTCCGGCATGTGTCACCTTGAGACATACAAGCTCTGTGGCCTTGGATTATGAGTGCCTCTTAGCATCTTAAGAGTCCCTGCCTGTGTAAGTAGAAAGTGATCTCTGCTGTATTACACAGTAAAATATGCTTTCTGATGGTTTATCTTACCTTCACATGTGCGGCCATTGGCAGAGATGGAGAAACCCTGTTCGCAGACGCAGTGGAAAGACCCGGCTGTGTTTAAGCACTCTCCCTGAGGCCCACAGAGCCCTGGCTGTTCACACTCATTGATATCTGGAATTTCAAAGAGAGTTTCAAATACTTGAAAAAACTGTTCTGTGATACATACAGTATGTGACACACAGTGAGGAAAACTGGTTATGAAATGGCTGGACATTTATTCTGTGACCCAACTACAGCCTTTGTCCATGTACGAGACCACAGGACAAGTTCAATTGTCATGACAAAGAGAAACTAGTTAGGGTGACTCGTGAAATAGTCAATGTTTAACCATTTCCACCTTTAAAAATAGCAGTATGAGAGGCTCAACTCAAAGCTACATATTACTTTGGACATATCGCAGACTTCAGGGGCACTAAGAGAACAAGCAACTCTGAGAGATCGTTGTCAGTGAGAGCACCATGTTCTCCTCTGTCTCTCCCATTACCCTGCACAGCTCGACTGTAGTCTTGTCACACTTCACCTCTCCATCCTTGGACCTTGAGAACTTGTTTGGAGGTTCTAGCAGGGGAGCGCAGCTACTCGTGTACCCTTGACCGAAGAACGGTCCTCCTCTATCGGGGATGGTCATCCTCTTCGACCGAGCGCGCAGCTTCAGGAGGGGCGCACATGGAGCGGTGAGGGAGGAAGGGGACACCCGCCTAGTCGGCCAGATCAGCCGAATCAACCCTGGCGATCAATGGGGTGACAGATGTCGCAGCCAGATCGCCCTCACATCCCCTCTCCATCCTTGGTATGTGGGCTTCCTAAGGGCAAGGCAGGGCATGTCTTATGTATTCTATTTGGCTCCTAAGTGTCTGAACACATAAGAAATAGATTCTAATCCATATTTCATTGAAAATGGGTAAGAGAAATAAAATACAAGAAAAAGGCCTTTTAGACCAGGGAAGTTATGATTTGTAATGAGGAAGTTAGTGAATGAGGGTAAAGCATTTAGCATAGTGCTTAAAACATGACCAAAGGTCTAAAAGTGGCAGCTACTATCATCAAGACTCATGAACAGACCATGAAGTAGGTAAACTTGTGCGACCATCTGATGCTCTGCTTGTCTTCAATGTCACTCTGCTTCCCAGGACCAGGGTCAGGAGGCACTCCGAAGCACTGGTACCACATGGAGTGCTTAGTGTAAGTGAAATATTTTTTCAAACCAGTTCTAATTGTGTTGGCTAACAGTGCCCAAGACACAGCACAAAGACCTGGAGGATGGCTCACCCACTCACAGTGGTACTGATGCCTGCACTGTCTGTGCACTGTGCTTTAATTTAATTTAATTCCTAGTTCGCTTATCTGTGTCCCTCACTGTTCTGTCTATTCCTGGAGGAGTAGTTCTTCATCCTTGGTATCATGCGTCAATGAGGGTTTGTTTATTTACCACAAAATTTCTGTTATTTTTCTTCTCCACTAACTGAACACTGATTGGTTAAGGTTTGCTTAGCTTACTGGATCATATAAATGATCACATGTCCCCAGCACTAGCCAGGCTAAAGTCACCTTCCTATCTTCCTGAAGTCTCCTGGGTCCTCTTTTATCTCTTACTAAAGAGGTCCTCAATATGTCTTTTAGATGTCTGTCTTCACTCCAACCATATTTCCTTGACACTTGCTGTGAGCTGAATGAATAGAATGGGCCCTTGTCATTTTGAAGCTCACAATAGAACAGGGAGGCCTCCCCGAACAGCTGAAGAGCTTACTGGGAACCAGGAAAAGGTAGAGATTATGACCTCTCCCTAATGACTTCTAGAACATGCTGCATCACCAGCCCTGTGGTTCTCTTCCTCAATGAAGTCATCCCTTTCTGCATATCCAAGATCCCCTGGGGCTCTTCTTCTTAACCTGTTGATTTCTTTGAAACAGAAAGTCTGATAATTAGTGATTAATTCCCCTCTGTCTAAACTCTTTACCCTTCTATCTACCATACAATTCAGATTACTCACCCTACCCATTGCTGAGTCAAAACAAAAAGCCAAGCAGGAATTATACACATTTTCTTAACAATTCTCATACTTGTTATTGTCACTCATTTTCATAGTTCAAGAAAGAGCAATGTATCATTTCTACTTGCCAGTCCACTTGTCAATATGATTTCACCCTGTGGAATTCTTCATTTCTTTTATAAAGCCTCTGATACTTCTATGCTTATTCTCTACCTATCAATAACCCATTAGATTGGCAATCTGAACTCGGATCACCTCTTAGCCTTCAGTTCCCTTCTTTCCTTCCAACCAGCTACCTAGAGTTACCTGTATTTGGGCAAGAAGATGTTACAAGTTCCACCTGGCTGTGGATCAGGCTCATATGCATATTCATCTTGTCAAGCCCTGATGGTTTCTCAAGACTCCCTTCTTATTTTATCCAATGGCCTTTTAAAAATTACCTGCTTTCAACTTTGCATGGGGAAAATTGTGTACCAGGTTCTTGCTTCAAAAGAAGCCACTGATTAACAAATAACTGTCTAAAAAGTTTGATGACAGGAACTGAAGACCAATTCCCAGACTTTTTTCCAGGAAACTGCTAAGAAAGAACAACATGAATATCTGGAACCAGAGACACATATGCATTCAATTTGGATTATACTTATTGAGGCATTTCTAAACTATGCTGCTAGTAACTCCGAGCTGAAAGCCAGACTATATTTAAGTTGGGTTTCTTTCATGGGTCCATGATTCCACAGAATTCACAATCTGGCATGTGTAAGTCAAAACGTGAAACCAAAGTGTGTGCTGAATCTCCAGTGTATCCTGCCACATTCCTAAAGAGACTATTAACACGGAATTTCCATACTGCCTGCACATCATCATTAGTTTTGCGGGGCGAAGAAAATCTTAAACATACTTCTAACTGAAAAAACCTGACTGAGTGTGGAACTATCTTTAGAATATTAGGTAAGGCTGCCAAAGTTTTCACTGTCACACATTGTCACTCAAATATGTCCCATGGTCATTAACGCTGCCATCAATTACATTTTCAGCATTAAGACAAACTCTGCAATCTGCACCTAGCTACAGGATGCTGACATAATCATGGGATTAGAGAGAAAAGTAGACTACTAACTTCACGCAGAGAGGAAAATCACGAAACTGACTCCAGTGACAGAGCAAAGAGAAGTCATTCAGAGCAACAGAAGTATGGATGCCATTATAAAGTTTCTAATAGGAAGAAGTGGGTGATGAAACAGATTCATACACAGTATTTTTATTAATAATAGTTTTTGCAGTACTGGCTGTTGAACCCAGCCACACTCTACCACTTGATCTATATCCCCAGCCCTTTTGTCTTTTATTTTGTTTTTCAGATGAGGTCTTGCTAACTTTGCCCAGACTGGCCTCAAACTCAAGATCCTCCTACCTCTGCCTCCCAAGTAGCTGGGATTATATGTGTGTACCACCATGACTGGAACCATGCAAATTATTCTTTAAGCAGCACTAAGACCTACTTCATGAATGCCTATTATTTATTTGGACTTACATTTTTCAAACAGACACATTAATTTGTTCTGGAAAACAGAACGATAAATGTGACAGAGAATGAATTTAATTTAGTGATGACTGATAGTCAATAAAGTCCCATATTTTTGGAGCAGTCACGTATTTGAGAATTGATATCAAGCCACAGATACTAATTTAATGCACTGAGAGAATACAGTGCAATTATGAATCAGATGACCAACTTAGATCTGGGTGATTAAACTCTAGAAGTTAAATAATGAAATTTGCAATCTTGGTCCATTTATACTAAGACTTGGTTTTGCCTTTATTTGGCCAAAAGGAATTAGAAAAGAAAATATCACTTTTGAGCCAAAAAACCTATAATGAAAACCAGGATTCAGGTTTCTCAGTTTTTTTTTTTTTTTAATTTTTCATCTCTTGGCATTTTTATATAAATCAAGATTAATCTTGTTTAAAGTCCCCAAGTGGAAATATTCTCACAGAATATTCAAAGGTTCTTTCTCTACCTCATCAAACCCAAGCACATTTAATTTCTGCACTGGAAAAATTTAAATTCATCTCTTGTATTGTGGTAGCAAAGAAAAACAGATCAAACAAGGTACACAGCAGTACATTTAAATCTTGGAATCAGTATAGGAATTCTAAAAGAATTAACTCTAAAAGGAACTAATCTCTTCTCTACCCCTTTATTACAGAGAAGCATGCTAATGAACTTCTCTGAGGCTCAATTCCTCATGCACAAAATGGAAATACAAAAGCTACCACTTAAATTTGCTGTAAGAATTAAAAGAGGTACTGAGAGTACCCGCCATAGTGGGCCTTCAGTTGAAGTCATCACGGCTGTTCTTAGTAGTACTCATGCTGTATTGCTGTGTTCTTATTAGGCAGAGAGGACGGTGTCTTTCACCACTCTATGATACACAGATGGATATGGACAGTGACAGATGTATAGAGTATAATATTCTAGTACCACATCTTCAAGAATAGACAACATCTTCTTCTTCCAGGACATGGGTTATCCAGGACATGCAAAAAGACATATAATTTATGGCAATCCAAATTTTTTAAAAATGTCATATATGCTCAGTTGAGGTGGATAAAGAATACTTCCAACAATCTTCATGTATTAGTACTTTGAGATATGCTACACACTTCCATATAGAAGAGGGATATTAAAAATATTCAAGCACCAGAAAGAAACAGATGTAATGGTAAATATAAATGTAAGTTTCCAACAGAAATAAACAGTCATGACTTTGTAATTTCATTTTTTGCAGTGATGGGGACCAAACCCAGGGCTTCTCATATGCTAGGCAAGTGCTCTACCACTGAGCCACCTTCCCAGCATCATGGACTTAATCAGACCAATATAGGAAAACCTGTGTGGCAGTCGGGTACAGCTTAACATGCTGGATACAGGATCTAGACATAGAGTCAAAATGGCTCAAGTGCTACCCTGTAAAAAAATCATTTAACTTCATTGTCTTCATTCTTTCCTGTGGGGAAAAGATCATGAGTTCAAGCCTCAGAGGTCTTCATAGAAAGGAGCATTCTGAGTAACTTCTCTAAGCACACGCATAAAACAGATACAGGAAAAATTACCCAAATTACCTCTTAAGTTGCTGGAAGAGTTAAAAAAATGTAGCAACAGTACTTGGCATAGAGTAGGCATTCAGTTAGTTTTTGTGATTGTTCCTCTTAGTACCTATGTTGTATTTCTATGTTCTTATCAGTGCTCTGTTTCTACTGCACTGTTGTTTGGGAGAATAAATTTTAACAGCAATTAGAAAAAATATAAAGTCCTGTTCTTCATCTTTTTTACCAAATTATTATTGAGACTTTTTAGGAAGAGATAAAGGAATGGTGGGTACTGGAATAAAAACAGGGATCAGGAAAAGGACAAATGATAACCCTGGGACAAAATAAAATATGTCCATATAGAAAAATAATTCAAAATCAAGTACCAAGGTTGGCTCATGGAAGGAACAGCAAGTACAGGTGATCTTAGAACCATGCAAAGTGAGGACACAGTTCTGACATGCATGGGTTTTGGTTAACATGGTGCTGTTTAAAGATCTTCCTGTAGTCACTGCAGATTCAAGAAAGACACTGTAATCATACAAAGTAGCATAAATTACTTAAATAAAGCAAGTGGTAACACCAGACTATCATTAAGAAGCACTGCAGAATTAAAGAACTATGTAAACAATGAGAAAAGAGAAGTACCTTGACATTCTTTACTTTCATTTAGCTGGAATCCCTCTGGACAGTTGCAATCGTACGAGCCTTCAGTGTTAATGCAGTCTCCTCCCTGGCAAACGCTATTGTCCTCCAAGCATTCATTGATATCTGTAAGCAAATTAAAAAAATTTAGAAGACTAAATAAACTATATAAAGAAGATTAGACGTTTTTTCTTATCTTCACAAAATTATGTATTTCATATCATTTATACTACATCATTTTAAGTGGATGTCAGCTCTTTAACTTTTAGAATTTTTCTAAAAGTGAAACATTTCAAAAGGATTTTAGTCTTGAACAATGCACAGTTTTGTTTTTATGATTTTTTATTCCCCCATCCCACCCTTGTTTTGCTTTTTGACATAGGGTCTCACTATATCACAAGTCCAGACTGGCCTTGAACACACAGCCTCCTGCCTCAGCTTCCCAAAGACTGCAGAAAAGTTTTAAACATCAAATGCATGTTTCAATTGGAAGAGGAACAGTCAAAATTTTGTAATAAACAATAGTTTATTTAGTCATGTTCTTGGTGATGATACACACCAAATACATCTCTTTTTTTGGTGGAACTGGAGTTTGAACTCAGAGCTCCATGATTGCAAAGCAGGTACTCCGCCATGCCTCCAGTCCATTTTGTTCTGGATATTTTGAAGATGGAGTCTCTGGAACTATTTGCCTAGGTTGTCCACAAACCAAGATCCTCCCCATCCCAGCCTCCCAAGTGGCTAGGATTATAAGCATGAGTGCCCTGGTGCCCAGCTGTTAACTAAACCTTGAGCATACTTAACAGAGTCAATCTATTTATACCATATCCTGTATCATGTATTAAAGAAAAAATTTTAAAGTACTTGGCAAGATCTTCACCTACAAAGATAAATGTTTATTCAAAAAAATCTCAAATTGTATTGCATCAATAAACACATAAAACATTAAATTGCTTATAAATCCAAAATTATTTAGCAAAAGAATTGTCAGAAAGTATTATTATTTGGCAAAAGAATGGTACTAGTTTTAGGGGTCACATGAATTTAGAGAAAAGATATGAAGGTTAAAAAAAAAAGCTTTCTTGTAACAGAAGAAAATTACTTAGAGTCTTGACACCAGAACATGGAGGAAGAGGGGGACTTTTGGAGGAAGAGAAACCAGCAAGATCAAAAACCTAGTTGACGTCACTCAGAGGCTGGCCCCAGACACGCTGGGTGTTGTCTACATATGTCTTTAGTGTATATACCTAGGGCCTATGTGCAATGAGAAGTGGTTTACGTAACCAAGGATGAGTTATGACTGTGAGTATGTGAGACATTAGTGACACCCCTCACATCACACTCATCTTTCTTAGGGGATGCTTATTACCATGTTGACTCTCAGTCAGAGCTCACCACTCCTAATATACCCCACGGGTTCCTCCTCTGGTCTATCTGTACAGGGTTTAAATAATTAGCACTGAAGAAATCTAATGAACAAAACTTCCTTTGTTTCCTCAGAACATGGCATTTTCTGAAATTTCTTGCAAATCATTATGATTGTTGCTAAAATCCATGAGAAATTCCAGGAAGAAGTGATGATGAAGACTGTTGCAACCTCCCTCACTCTGCCTGCTGTCTGGTTCAGATATGGGTCTGCTGAATTCAAGTTTCCTCATAGAACCCAATCAATCAACTGACTGATGTACCAGTCACAGGGAAAACAAAAGAGGAATAAGAGTATGCCTCATTATTTCATTCTATCAAAATAAAAACAAGTTATTATGATGAGTGTTTGTCCAGATTTAAAATGTTCAGAGTCCTGGTACCCCAAAACATAAAATGTAAATGGATGTGACTATCTCAACTAAAGTGAGTTATTGCTTTCTCTTTAATGTGTTTTGTCTGACATCACTGATATATAATTTACAAACAAGAAGTGCATTTAAGAGTCCAGTTGAAGTTCAGTGAGCTCTAACAAATGTACATCCTTGAGCTTTAACAAATCTTATAGCCTTGTAGCCATGGTCACAGTTCAATTTACAGGCCGTTCTATCGCCTCACCAGGTTCTCTTGTGCCCCTTTTGTGTTTAGCATCTTCAGTCCGGCACAACATTTCTGAGATTCATTCAAGCTGTTGCGTGGGTCAATAGTTAATTCCACTTTCTTGCTGAGTAGTATTTCATTGTATGGATATACCAGTCAGTTTACCTTGCCTCTTATGAGCATTTGTGCTGCCTCCATTTTGGTTACTATAAGTAAAGATTTTATACACATTCATGTGTATGTCTTTATGTGAACATATGCTTTCATTTTTCTTGAGTTAATTCCTATGACTAGAATGGCTAGGTCATTCAATTTTTTTGAAAATAAAACTTGCTTTCTAACGTTGCTGTACCATTTTACATTACCACCAGCACTGTCAGAGAGGTCCAAGTGGTGTACATTAATTCTAATAGCTGCATAACTACTCCAGGGGGTGCCCAACAGATGATCAGAGCTTCATCTTTCTTTCTTTGCTTCTTAGGAAATGGAGATAACAAAGTGGAAAGAATCCTATTTGATCAATGGTATTCTATTTTTAAAAATCCCAGTTCAGAAAGATCAAGAAAATCCTGAGAACATGATTTTCAGCAACAAAGAAATGCTGTGTAACAGATGTTTGCCTCTGCATAAAGGAAGCATGCCGACTGTGCCAACATGCTTTTAAGTGATTTGATTTCTATCCATTCCCCCAAATTGGAGAAAAATAATGAATATGAGGAAAGAAACATTAACTGTTTATCAATTATTGTATAGATTTTAAAACTCTGTGCTCTTGGAGTCAATTTTATTTAAAATTTTTTTCCCAAGACCTTTATTTACCTTCAAGACAAAAATGAGGAGGCTGTACATTCTGAGAGGCCAACATGGCCTAGGTAGGCACCACCGCCTGGGGTGGGGTGACTACAGGCTCCTCCAAGGAGTTCAGGAACACATTTTAAGCAAAGTGACAGTGAATCCTGATCAACCTTCTAAATCTTGTGGTCAACTTTTGGTCCTCCTCTTACCTAACAGCAATATTTGACAGTTTGTCATTGTCTCCCTTCCTTGAAATTCTCCTCTTAGATTCTAATTTCCTTCTTCACTTGGCACTTCTTTCCTTTTCTGATTCCCATCCATTTGCTCACTTGTAAGTGCTGGAGGGTGATACTGTGTTGGTGACTCTATTCAATGTCATCACTTTAAATGCTGTCTAGGTACTGATGACTCCTAGCTCAGGAAGAAACCCCTGATTTCCAAATACATAGATCCAATTGCTTTTCATATTTTAATTAGATACTTTTTTTAGGAATTGAACACTGAAAGTCTCACATGGGGCTCCTGGTCTCTTCTATAAAGCTTGTTCCTTGGGCCTCTGTCCCTGCCATTCCTTTGAATGTCATGTTCCTCCCATAAATAACCAAATCCATTGGCTCAGGGAAGTGTCTGTTTACCTCCTCATTTAAAACCACCCCATCCCTCAGCACTCTCCGTATTTCCCACTGTATTTTTCTCTATAACATTTATTGCCATTTAACAAATTATCTATTTTACTTATTTATCATGTTTATTGCTATCTTCCTCAATAGCGTAAGCAGGGCAGGAATTTCTGTTTGTTTCACATATGGCCGGTGCCTAGAACAGTGACTGGCACAAATCTGGCACTAGATAAATATTTGTTAAACAAATGGACACACAAATGATCCTGATTTAAAAAGAAGCAGTACCGTGACTTCTCATTGTTTTTTCTTTTGTCCACATAGAAATTACCAAGAGTAAAGGAGCACAAGAAGACAAAGTAAGGAATACAAGAGCCCTGCACAGAGCAGCCTCAGCAAGGGGTTGGGAAAGGGCTAAGGGAGACACAGGATTAAAGATGTAGAGGTCAACAAGTCAGAGGCAGAGCCTTTAAAGGCCAAGATGCACAGGACCCCTAAGAACTGGGACAATGGAGGTCACCCCCATGCCAGACTGATCATAGAGAAGTAAGTGTCACTCAGCAGTGAGTACAACACTTGGCTGTGACTTTAGGAGGAGGCCAATATGACTTCATGATGGTACTGTAAGAAAACAAGACCTCTGCAACAGTTATTAGGAGAAAACTACACATGTAAATATAAAAGCCAATAAAAAAGGCATCTTCCTCCACAGCTGTTAGAGGCATGTGAACAGCCATGGTTCAGTTAATTTCAGCCACATACCACTGGGGAGGGCGGAAATAGCACGAGGTGGGAATCCTGCAGACTGAAGTGCTAATGGGGCTTCAAAGGGAGCTCTGGATTAGTTGGATGGACTCCAGTCCTATTTATAACCCCAAATAGGAGGGAAATCAGGTCTATGTTTCAGAGAAAAGGGCCTTGTTATATATTCCAAAGGGAGCTTTCCTTTGGAACAAAATAGTAGCTTATAAACTTACAGATTAGTAATGAAGAACAAGTTGGCTAGAAAGCTTTTGGTTGGCTTTTCATGCAATGGATGTCTATAGGATAAAGTCTTGGGTTTCTGATGGGATGTCTATACACTAAAACAGTCAGAAGAGAGAGCGCCAGAGCAGATGAACGTGCCCTCTGGTGACTATTACCCAGCACTCTGGCAGCAGCCTGGTAATCCTCTTCACTTGGCAAGAATCAAGGCAGAAGAGAGGCTGCTGGTCAGTTTAGGCTTTCAGCACTGATCATATACCCTACTTCCGACTGTCTTCTGACAGATCCTTCCATGATGGGTTCCCTACCACACAACTCTTCCTCCTGCCTTGGAATGGCAGTGCGGTAGATCATTAATGTCTACCCAAACACAATTCTTCAGCTATAATCATATTTTTCAATATCGATTACAACTTTTCCTTGGTGTTATTAACCCTCATCACATTATCACCTCAGGACAAGGTGATTAAACACTACCTAAAGAGTTCCCATTATCATTTTAGGATAAAATTCTATAAGTTAACTTACTGGTCCACAGACAATAAACATTTTAAAACCTTTGTAAAGTCTGCCAAAATTGCCCTCCAGCCTGATTGAGTCATTTTGCATTGCCAACAGCAGCAGTGGTACTAGGGTTTGAACTCTGGGCTTCCCACTTGCTAGGCCAGTGCTCTACCTCTTAAGTCATGCCTCCATTCCAGCAGCAGCAGCAGCAGCAGCAGGGTATGGATACACAGCCACTTTGGGACAGGTTGTGCCAAGTTCTCTGGTCAAAAATACAACATGCTATAAACTGCAATGGCTGTCCCCCAACCTTCTGGGCTGGGAGTAAAAAGGATCTGGGGCCCCTGAAAGGCATGCTACAAAACCAGTCTCTAAAAAGCTTCTCCACTTCTCTCAAAGTGGAGCCCTGACCTTTACTCCAAAGGTCTGGCTTTGCTTGTGGGACATACCCTGGTCACTTGCTTCTGATTTCATAACCAATGGGCTATGAATACAGCAAAGCAGCTGGTAAGCTGGAGAGTGCCTTTACTTGTGCGGACAATGAACACAGAGCATCCACAAATGACAGCTGGTGGAAATGGAAAGAGAACTGGCCAGCAGAAGACACTGCCTCTCCATACACGGAACTGGCTCAGCAGCCCTGAGCACCATGGACTGGTCTGAGCCCCGCAGGTCGCCAAAGTGGTTAACGAATGCACAATGCTGTATGCGTGGGGTACCTTGTAGAAATGTTTTACACAGTAATTCAGCTCCTTGAAGTGTCCCAGTTATCTGGAAATTTAAATTGAGTTTACTTACTTGGATCATTTGGAAGTCATGTAATGCTGCAGTTTAGAACTGTGCGCCCAGAACAAGCCATCTATACTTGGGAAAGGTAAGCTGACTCTTTACTCCTTTTGTTGGCACAATTCTAAAAGACAGCTCCAAGCAGTTCAAAAACAAAAAAATCTGGACCCCACTCCCTTTGTAGTACTTGTGTGACCCTAGGGGAAATACTCGGTGGGGACCCAACATCTGTGACTGTGAAGTCAAAGGTTGAGTTCATGGACTGAGGCCACCTTCAGATTCTGGCATGTTTTGGTTCTGAAATCGGGAGCAATTCTCACCTTGACAGTGGTCTCCCAGTGCAGATGCCCTGTAGCCCTGGTCACACACGCACTGGAAGGAGCCCTCTGTGTTCCTGCACTGGCCGTGAGAGCAGAGGTGATGGTGCTGGCACTCGTCAGTATCTGTGAGCAAGACAGCACAGAGAAACTGTGGGACCCATCGTTCAGATGAAGAGGTTCATCTACAAACTACCTGGTTTTTAATGGATTTAAACCAGAATTTTCACTATGTGACCTAAATTGACCTCTACTAAAGGGTCAGTAACTCCCCTGTACGGAAAATTCCAATGAACTTCGAATTTTATTCTATGAATCTGTATACAAGAATCCCACATTTACTAATGGGTAACAAATACTTTGCTGTAATCTGTGAAGCTCATTCAAGTTTCTTGGATTTAAAAAAATATATATAGATTAAACTAGAACACTCTGAATTTAAAACCACTGTAATAGTCTAAAGCAAGGGTCAGAAAACCACTGCCCACAGGCTAAATCCAGTCCACTGCCGATTATTATAAATAAAGTTTTATTGGAAAGAAGAACCACATATTCACTTACTATCTGGGCCTTTACAGAAAAGTTTTTGCTAATGCTTGATGTAAAGTGTCACAGCACATGTCTTCATTTCTTTTTCATTAATTTACCTGTTGACAGCCTGGCAAGTGAGCTTCCGTATTCATTCTCTCTCCTCTAACAACAATCTTTTGGCCAGATCTAACGGTTCTGCCCCTTCTCTCAGCCCATTTAGTATTTCATGCTGCCACTGAATCACTCTTCCTTGGTACATCCCTCATCCTCAGCTTAGAAAGCATTTGTTTTGTTCTCATGATCTTGAGTTCATATCCACACACAGGTGGCACAGGTGGCACAAAGTACATTGCATGACTCCAATTATTTTGCCTTCATTATTGGATTTTAATAATAGATTTCCTAGGGCAGAGACTATGTGCACCACACCATTCATCACTCCTTAGATAACCTAATGTTAGCAGTGAGCAGGCATTCAGTTCATGTTGTTTGTTGAAGGACTTTGTTTATAACATTTGAGAGCATTTGCCTACTTCTGTCGATGTGATTCTACAAAGTTAACACCTATGGGGACCCTGGATCATTGCTCAAAACCCTTTCTGCTCATAGGTTCAGTTTGATTGTCATAACATTTGACACTTAAAATGGTTTTGCTCTATTTTTTTTCCTGGCAATACTGGGGATTGCACTTAGGCCCTCATGCTAGTACTCTACACTTGAGCCACACCCATACTACTTTTGCTTTGAGTTTGCTTTTGAGACAGGGTCTCCTGCCTTTGCCAAGGCTGACCTTGGACTATGATCCTCCTACCTTCACCTCCTGAGTAGCAGGATTATAGGCATGTGCCACCACACCCGGCCCTTGTACGTGGTTCTGACTTACCACTGATAGTAAACATGACAGGCTTTTTAAAAGAAAGGACTGTGAATATTGTAGTTTTTTAATATCATGGGACAGATGTCTTACAATTCATTTGCAGTTTTCTATGCATTGTTTCTATGCATTAAATGAGTAAATAAATTTGAAGTAAATGAGGTCAGGAGTCATAAAAAAGGTAAAAATGTTGAGAGGGATTTGTAAACTCTAGGACAAATTATATGAATTTTCTGTGTGTGTATCACATGTCCTTACATGTGCGCTACCATTCTTCATTTGTAGATTAGGTATTAACTGTCTGTGTTCTAGAAAGGGAGGATTAGGGAAGGTTAGAGTGATAATGTGGTAGATGCCTCTGTAATTAGCTATCACATGTTCTCACTTTGTAACTGTCTCAGGACACTTTTTGTTCATTAAATAAAGTTTACAACTATGAATCTGATTCCCAATAATAAAACAATTGGTCATATACACTGTGGATGCTGTTCTTTTCAAGAACTCTGGAGACTTGTGCTTGTCACAGGTAGTACAATAACATCTTCAAGCTCAGGAAACAAACCTAATGGGAAGGAAAGCATCTTTATCTGAAATTTAATGAAATTCACTGAAAAGGTATCTTTAGAATCATTCTAAAAGAAAGGCAAAAAAACATTAAAGCTAAATATACAGAAAACTAAGACCAGTAACATTCTAAAGCATAACGCCAGGGCAATACAATGACCTTCAAATTGCTGAAGTCCCAACCTTTAAATGAATTTAAATGTTTAAGTAGAAATTACTTTCTGTGGTAAATAATTATGTAGAGAGCATTTGTTTTTCTTCCTAATACTAGTAATTAACCACTCTCTACCAATGCCATATAGTCCAAATTTAACGCTCTTTCATTTTGTTTTACTGACTTGCCTGACTTTACTTCCTTGGCGTTCTGGCATTCTAGTACAATCATCGGCATAGTATCTAACAGGCACACTCACCCAATCGAGTGTACAGTTTTTCCCGGCAGTATCTTAAGCTGAAATGGCAGTAGCTCATGCTCAACAGTCCTACCTTCACACTGGTCTTTGGCTGCTGACAGCTGGTACCCCTGGCCACAGGTACATCGGAAAGAACCCTCAGTGTTCTTGCACTGCCCGTGCATGCAGAGGTTCCCTGGCTGACATTCATCAATATCTGTTAACACAAATGATTGCAATTGTTTTGAGAAGGATACTTCCCAGGACAACACAGTGCTCCCTGCAATGCATTTTGGAGTTATTGACACAAAAATAATAATACTTCTTATGTGAGGCACTACAAACTTTAATTTGTACCAGCCCACCAATGGTCTTTGCATCAACCACAGTGTGTTGAACTGCAGAAAAGAAATTATTTTAAATAGATGATAAACTTATAAGTAAAAATTACTTATCATATATCAAGGTTCTCTCTCTCCCTCTCTCTCTCTCTCTCTCTCTCTCTCTCTTTCTCTCTCTCTCTCATACTTTGGATATGACAGAAATACAATATGAAATATTTTAGAGTTGAAAACAAAAGACAAATGAAGCACAAAATGATGACTATGAGACAGTCTGTAGACCTGTTAAGTTCCAAGACAAGCAGAAACAAAACTACTAAGAAATTTAAAAAGAAATCAAAATGTAGTTAGAGAGGAGAAAAAAGACATTTCTACTTTCTTCAGAAGTTCAACTGTAATGTAACAGTTGCATTGAAGAATACTGAACTCCTAGCTGGGCACTGGTGGTTCATACCTGTAATCCTTGGAAGGCTGAGATCAGGTCAGCCTGAGCAAGATTCCCATCTCAACAGAAAAAATAGGCTAGATAAGGTGGTGTGTATCTATCATCCCAATTATAGTAGGAAGACTAAAACAGGAGAATCACAGTCCAGGACTAGGCAAAAAGCAAGACTCTGTCTCTAAAATAACCAGAGCTAAAAAAAAGGGCTGGAGGTATGGTTCAAATGGTAGAACACCTGCATAACAAGCACAGATACCCGAGTTCAAACACTGCCCCCAACTCCAAAAAAAAAACACTCAGTGTTCCATTGCCTTTTTCAAGGTAACAAGCAAAGCCAAGAAAAATGGTAGTGATGTGATGGTTGATGGAAAAACAAAGGAGAAAGTGATAAGCAAGATTTTTTTTAAATGTCTTGACTGAGAATTTAATTCTTAGTAAGTGTTCTAGGAAATGTCATGTACGTGAAGTTACGTGATGAAGGGTTGAGCTCATCAATAACCTGAACACTTTTGGTACAAGTAGAGTTACTTTTCCAAATGCTTTTCTTGGCTACGTGTTGGTCTGTCCTAATTAGAGAATTCTGTCTTGCTTCACCTGTGCAGATATAACCTTAGCATGCTCTGCTGAACAGCTAGTGAATTTATAAGAGCTTTTGATTACTGAAAGGTAGTAGGGCTGTTCTTCACTTTACTGGACCACAGGCTCTGTGAGCATTAGGGTAAGGAATAGTTGCCAAACACACTAGACCTATAGTCAAAGGAGAGAAAGGACCCTCAATCTAAATGGAATAATAAATAAAATGAACATAAGTGTTTTAAAGAAACCATGTCCTAAAGGTCAATGTACAACTGTTTTCTTCTAAAAATATCTTACTTAAAATGCATCTAAGAGTTTTTGCCAGGAAAAACTATACAGTCTTTTCCCTCTAGTATTACTGACAATTGCTTATTTTCTAAGTAAAGTTGCCTTTCTTAACCTCTAACGAGGAATTAATTTTTTGAATTTTACCCTGAGGAAAGCAAGATAGGGAGTTATTCCATGTTTCCTGAAATAACTTGCATAAACTATTAATGTAATTGGAGTTCAAATTTTGCTCATTTTAATTTTTTCATAATATTTACTTCAGCTGACTAGAAACTTTTACTTATTTCACTGATTGTGTTATTATTCCCTTTTATTTATAAAGAATTGCTGGTTGTCCACAGAGAAATTTAATAGTTAAGCAAATTCATCCTAGGAATTATTTTACACTTCTACAATATTCTAAGCCTATCAGCTTTGGGAGTGGTTGGCAGCAAAGACTAGACAACATTACACTTTCCTTCAGCACACTCTACAAACTACTTGGGGTGTCAGTTCATGAACTTGAGACCAACAACAGCTCTTGCAGCTAGCTGAATCTCACATAATGTCTGACAACATTTTTAGTGCTTTGGACTCTTCTTGACTTTCTCATAGAGACAACAAATTAAGAATTCCCATGTGAAAATGTCTGCAACAAGGACATGCCCTCTGTTCCAAGTACTGTCAGGATATGCCAGACAGCATACATAAGTTACTCATTTATGCTGGGAAGACAGTCAGAAGTCATTCGTTATAAGTAATGACGTACACACTTGGAATAATTTAAGGCAACACAGTTATCTTAAACAAGGTAATCTTTGGGTTTTTAAAAAGACCAAGGGCAATAGAAGGCGCCTAACTGTAGAGATGAAAAATAATTCTTTTCCAGAGAGGGACAGAATTCCTAGGACAAAAGAAAGCTTTCTAATAAGATATGCAAAGCATGTAAGACAAATGTCTTCTTCCTTTTGTGCCAAGCAATATTGAAAGCATTGTCTTCCACATGTTACTGTGACAAGTCTTGCTCAGAGTCAAAATACAGAGTATCTTCAGGTATTTCTAAATTTAGAACATATAATGCTAAATTGTAGAGACAAAATAATGTGAAGAGGAAGAAGCAATGAATTAAACATTAGATAATCTATTTATGATCTGAAAAGAGTCATCAGTACATTTAATGAGGTGAGGACAAACTTGGTATCAAGGACTATCAACAAGGTAAGATTGGTAGAGTTGTAAGGATCCTGGAAAAGGAATGGATTTACGATCAGGGCTAAGTTTGACAACTGTGAGCTGTGGTTTGGGAAAGAATTATGAGAAGATTACAGAAAAAGATGTTATAACTGTAGCTTGGAAAGACTTTGGTAGGGGCATAAGGAAAACGATTAGTATATCCATAGGTCACCAAGGCAGAAGATGGGACTCTTGCCTCACCTTATTCCAGACTGTAATAAGGAGACATCATTAGAATCAAAGTGGAATAGTTCTTTTCTTCTTCCCTCCCTTCCCTCTTTCCTCCTCCTCTCTTTCTCCCTTTCTCCTTCCCTCCTTCCCTCCCTTCCTTCCTTGAAGATGACAGCCCTTTCCTACCTCTAAGCTTTGACATGTGCTGTTTCCTCTGCCTGCTAAGTTTTTCTCCCTTTGTATTCAGTATTCTAAGACCAAGTTCAAGTAGCAACACCTCTGTGAAACTTTCCTAGAAGCACGCAAGCAGAACCAGTCCTAAGCTTCTTGGCTTTTACAAAAGTTGTTCAGGCCTCTACCACCACCACTGCTATGTGTCCTGCTTTGCCTCTGCATCAACCCATTCTCCACAAACTACCTTACAAATCCTCACGTCCACTCTGTTGGGTACCATTGCTGCACTCTTTCTGCAGATGAAAAAAGTGAGGCTTAGCTTAGATTACTTACCTAAACTTACACAGCTTCCAAGTGTGAGAGCTAGGCTCTAAAATACCGTTTTGTTTTGGTTTCGTTTTTTTCAGTGCTGGGGAGGGAACCCAGGGCCTCACACATGGCAAACATGTACTCTACTGTCTCTGCTGAAGAACCGTGCCTCAGCTCATGTCTCTTAAACTAAGCTCTGGACTTCATTTGGATTTCACAAGTCTTTCTAATCATATCTAATCCAGAGTTCTACATTTAGTTGTCTTGTTGCCCAGTCAGTCTGTTTTTCATGACCATAACTGTCTTAAGGAGTAGAGATCAGAATCTAGTGGGATCCCCCCAACCCCCCCAATCTATATCTGTCTGTCTTTCTCATGATTAGGCTGGGGTTGTGGGTTTTGTTTTGAGGAGGTATGTGGTTTCAGGAGTCAGGAAGAAAGTTGTGGATGTGAACCAAGAAAGAAAGAAAGGACAGGGAGAGAACCAGAGATGTGCCTAACGTAGCTGTTTCCCTGGGGCGGGGCAGGGTGTGTGTGTCTTCTACAGCAGGAAAGGAACGGGCACCAACTTCAGATGCTGGTAATTCCCTACTTGCCATGGAAGATACCTCAGTTCTTACAAAACACAGGGTATTCATTGACTGTTTGCCTACTATGGTGAGAATTAATTATCACACTAATTCCTGTACATTAATTGAGATAATTACTTAGGAGAAGAAAACTTTTACTTATTTCCTCTTGAAAGAATATGCTTGTAGGATAAAAGCAATGGAAGAAAGCAGAAAGGAAACAATCAGTAATTTGACTATAGGAAAAAAAATGAAAACACTTAAAAAAAGAACCATAAAGAGAAAAGTTAGGGAAACCATGGAAGAATTATAACAATGTGCCACAAAAAGGTACGTGTATAAATGTATATATACATACATACGTGCATACATACACATGCATGTACAAATATGTATTGCATATAGAGATCATACACATATTTAAAGAATAAAAAGTCTGATAAACAGGAAAAAATATAAACAAAATTTATAAAAGAAGAAATGTAAATGCTTCATAAATATATATGAAATAAATGTTTAATAATTATAAGTGTTTAAGGAATAATTAAAGCAAATGAGCATATAAAAGTAAATATTAAACCTCCTAGGAAAAAAGAAATATGCATTTGAAAATTAGAAATGAATGTTCTCCTATTAATATAATAAAAATATTTTTACCTAGTAGTTCAACTTTTGTGAGTTAAAAAAATCTTAAACTTCAGGCAAAGTTTATTTTGAGAAAACAGGACTGTTACAATTTTTTCCCATAATAATGGGAAGTTTGAAAGTGTACTCAATACGTAAAGAACAGCAAGAAAACTGATATGACAATTTATTGGAATTAAAATTCATATTATGCAGCCTTTGCTATGCTAGGTGCCAGTGACTCACACCTGCAATCCTAGCTACTTGGGAGGCTAAGATCAGGAGGATCATGATTTGAGGCCATCCAAAGCAAAACTATTCATGATACACCAACTCAACCAAAGATGAGAGGTATGGCAGTGCACCCTGCTATCCCAGTTACAGTGGGAAGCCTAAAATAGGAGGTTCACCACCCTGGGCGAAAAGCGAGACCCTATCTCCAAAATAACCAGAGCAAAAAGGGCTAGAGAGGTGGCTTAAGCAGCAGAGTGCATGTCTAGCAAGTGCAAAGCCCTGAGTATAAACCTCAGTACTGCCCCCTCAAACATATGCAGTCTTTCAAAATAAAGTATGAAGAGTTACTAATGAGATATAAAATGCTTCACAAAAACCAGGAGATGAAAACTGTGCATCTTTATATACAAAATCCACAAGATCACAATATTTGTGATTTTTTTACTCTTCTGCATTTGTTAAATTTTATTTAATGTGCTGGTGTCCTTTGCAGGTGGGGGTAATGGTACTAGGGTTTAAACTCAGGGCTCTACCATGTGAGCTGCACCCCCAACCCCTTTTTGCTTTAGTTTATTTTTTAGATAGGGTCTCATGCTTTTTGCCCCAGCAGGCCACAAACCATGATGCTCTACCTCTCAAGTAGCTGGGACTACAAGCTACATGGAGTACCACCATGTGCAGCTTGTTGGTTTCTCAATAGCAATTGATATTGAGATAATTCTCCAACAATTCAGTGGTTTTTAATAGTCACAGCATTGTGCAATTGCATGTACTACTTTTATAATTATAAAATTTAAATAGATATATGGCTTATAGACATTCTCTAAAAATATATCATTTACTATATACTACACACACAGGTAGATAGATAGATCCACTCTATATTTTAGAGGCCCATTTCAAGAGCCCCAACCAAATATGCTACAAGAAGCTCAGTCAAAACAATTGCAGGTGACATGGTTCCTGTTTCTAAGGCCACTCGCTCTTTCTTACATGAAGTTCAGATGCAAAGGCAAGCTTGATCACAGCATTTACCTTGACAGTGTCTGTGGTCCGGTGTCGGGCTGTATCCTTTGTGGCATGAGCACATGTAGGAGCCTTCAAGGTTGGAACAAGAGCCATTCGTGCAGACATTTGGTTCTAGGCACTCGTCCACATCTTGCAGAAAGTGTGTAATGGAAAGAAAAGAAGAGAGAAAAAGAAAACATGATTAAAGTTAAACTTGGTTAGCATGGAAACAGTAGACCTTCAGAAGATAGGAAGATTCTTAAAACTTCGCGTTGACTCTGAGGAAGAAAAGCAGCTGTGCAAGGAGCCACAAGGAAGATGCTTCAGTGCCTTAGCTCACTTTCTGGAAGTGATGCAACACTGACCAGATGTGCTGCCTGAATAAATTCAGGAAGGGTAGAAGACTTGTGGTGGTGGTGGGGAAGTGATAGTTTTAGAGTAATATAACCTGAAAAATAAAATTTCCAAAGAGTCAAAGATGGCGTGGGGTCCATTTGGTAGGATAGGAGAGTCCTCAGAAGCAAAGGCTAGCACTCACAACCCCGAGACCACAGCAAGCAAGCTCTAATAGAATAAGGGAAAAGGTTCTAACAAACACTCCAAGACAGCAGAGAAAAAACCAATCTAGGAGACAATGATAGGTTTATTTGGCAGTTTTAAGATAGGATATAGACTGTAGAAAATGTAATAATAACAGCTAATTTTTATCAAACACTTCAGGTAGCCACTAAATGATTTACATATATCATCTCATTTAATTCTAACAAAATTTATATTGGCTAAGCATTTGACAGAGAAAGGAAGTAAGACTTAAAAAAGGTTAGTAACCTGCCATGGTTAGTGGTTCCAAGATTTGAATCCCAAGCTCATTCTTTTAATTTGGCAATAAGTTTCTGTCACAGGCAAAGGTAAGTCTAGTGATTGAACCAGTTCAATAAAGAGAAACCATCAGTTTATGCTTCTTTTTATTATTTGTTAACAAAGTATTTATACTAAAATCATTTAGGTTTTCACTGATTTTATTCAATAAACATTCATTTTATTCAGCAATAATTACTGGAATACTGTTATTGGAAAAAAAATTTGGATTCTGTACGCCATTTGAATGCCATTGGGTAAGTCATTGGGTGGTTGAGTGACAGACACTTATGTGGCATCAATAACCAAAACAAAGAAAAAACTGAAGCCACAAAGTGCCAAAAGTACATACACAACATTATAATTTAGGCTATGTCTTAACAGTCTATAACTTAATCAAAACATCTTAAATGCATATATTTTGTTTCTAATGCTTACTATGAAAGGAATAATGCTTACTATCCTCTCTTTTTCTCTGTGCACCATCACACCCAGCTGTGACTTTCTATCTTTTAAGGCAGGGAATCCCAAGCATATAGACAACATAGACCTAGTCTTAATTAAGCAATCCAGAGTTCATACTGCATTCATTTGCTTTGCATTTTATGAACTCTATTTTATCTCTCTTCCAATGGAATCTAGAAATAGTTAGACTAAAATATGGCAAAGGAGTACCTGTGCGTGTGTGCACACCTGTGTATTCCACGTGCATACTGAGAAGAGGCAAGTAATTAGCATTGCCTAGGTATTGCTGCTTCCAAAAAACAATACTAATTATGGTTCACAACAATAAAAATAGCACTTGCAGACTGAATCATTATCCACTCTTTCTTTGGTTGTGGGAATCCACTTTTGTAAACACTGAATGCAAACAACTTGAAGGAAGCCAAATATTGGAGCCAAAGTAAATAATGGAATAGAATGAGCCTAGACACTAGACATGAAAATTCCAGACAGCAACGGGAAAATGTCATGTCTAGTATCTGGTTTGGTTTCAAAAATGTTAACAAGTTCAGAAACGCATGGATTGTTCTCTTTAATTATTCATGTATAAGAAAAAGTGATTTATAGGCTAAAGAATGTAATAGCAAAAGCAATTTCTAAGACATTTTTTCTAAAATAAATTTAACAGGCATTGCACATTACCATTTATGAAGTACACATAAAACTTACATTTTTTAGGCTACTATCATGATTTATAAAGAAGAATGCTGTGGAATAGATAGGGTAGCCTGATGTGTCTTTTCTTTACTTATTATAGACAAACTTGCACAAAACCAGAATTCTTCCAAGCCAATCATTCACATGTAGATACAACAGTTGGAATTGAATGAGTCCGTGGTCTGGCTGGAGATTAAGCTCTGGAGGGACTTTCAACTATACAGTGAAATACTGATAAGGAATTTCTACAAAGAAGGAAGGTGCCAGGAGAGTAGCCACACATAAAATGCTTGGTGGACACAAATGGAGAGATACAAGCTTGGCACTGTGTCTTTATTCCAGACTTCTCTCCTAACTGGAGATCCATGCATCTAGCTGGTCATTCTACTGGATGTCCCCTTGATCCCAGGTGCCTCTGAATCTTCACTGTCAAAACCAATCCCTCCTTGCCTTTCTTAAGTGTTTTTTTTTTCCACATCAACATATGGTACCACTATCCACTCAGAGACCCAGGTCAGAAACTTGGGAGTCATCTCATAGATTCCTTCTCTCCCTCTTTCTCTGTATTCAACTTACTGCCATGTCCTATCAATCTATCTACCAAACATCTCACATATGTGCCTACTTTATTTCATTCCTGATATTTCTACCTTGGGTTACTGCCATCATTTAAAAAATTTGTATAAAAATTGGTCTTGTAGTCTCTAATCCATTATCTAGCTTACAGACACAGTAAACTCTCTAAAATACAAATCTGACCAATAGTTGGGATCATCTTTTAAAAATCTTCAGTCATTTCCAGTGTTCTTCAATTGAATCAAGGACAAAAACTTGTGGGACCCTCGTGGAAACAGAAGTAGAAGGCCTGCCCTCCTATAGCTCTTCTTTCTAGCCCTTGGGACAGTTTCCCATCAACACCATAGGAAGAAAATTGGTTCCTACCCATTACACCATCTGCCCCCTCCATGGTTACCTCACCCCAACATCAGAAAATGATTCTATAAATATACAGCCCATACTTTCCATTGAAAATGGAGCTCCATATTGGAGTTCAAAACTCATGTTTCTTTAAGATATGGTCTTATAGAATATTTATATTACCTAAGTTCTTCCAAAACATTGGCACAATAAGTTCAAAGTCCTTCATAATTTATCTCAGGCAGGAAACTGATCATGAGAAACACCATGTTCATAGAAAAATAGGTTCCAAAATCAAACAAACAATTTACCAAGAGGTTATTTAGGATATAACAATTTGGTATCTGCCATCCAATTAAACAATGGAACTTCTCAGAATAAGAAAGTTGCCAGAGGTTTCCAAGGTCAGACTTTGTGGATATAACTGCTCAGAGATTTATGCAAACCTCTTAGTATACTGTCACTCTATGTAAATTTATCTTTCTTATCTGCAGTGCCCCCAATAGACTCTGAGAAGCATCCTGTTGAAAACTAGACATGTTGTGCCCACAGGATTTGCTGGGCTACCTATTGAATAACCCTATTAGAAAAGGTAGTCAGGATAGTGTATCATGATTTGTTCTTCCTGAACCCTGGTTGATTCTTAGATCCCTGATCATTTAAATCACATATTCTACGTTCTTTGTCAAGATCAACATAAAGATCAGTGGTCAATAATTCCCTGACTCTGCCTTCTTTCCTCTTTCAAGGGAAATGAGAACATTAACCTCCCCCAGTTCCCTGGCAACTTTCTTTTCCCCATGATTTCACAAAGATGTCTCCCAGCTGGCCAGCAATCATACCATGTCAGGTCTCTCATTGCCTTGGCATTTAATTCACCTGGATCAGGAATCTTTTTGACTTTTCTTTCCCTTCCTAATATACCAAACTGCACCAAACACCTCCCTAGAGGGCATGTCCTGCCAGGAACAGAGGGTCTTCAGGAGTGGACTTCATCTAGCAATGTGCTCCCTGGGGAGTATCCCTTTACACTTGGCCTATCAGCTCCTTGAAGTTGGTTAAAACATGTCCCAAGCAATAATTTACATGTATTACTTCCTATGTGTTCAAGAGATGAATCTGTAAGCAATGTGAACCAATCATTTCTCTGAAACCATCTAACCACAATTAATTCCTTAGTCACAGGCAGATTTCCATGAATGAATACATTTGAATCAGAAAGATCTCATTCTGGCATTATAGTAACATGAAAACACAGGATTATTGCCTACCACAAATGTACCATGACTTCAATGATTCCTCAGCTATTCTCCACACATAATCTTTTATACTAAAGATGATGGAAGAGCATATTTGACAGAAAAGCTTGAGAGACAGATGCTGATTGGACAAGTGTGGTGAAACCACCTCATCTGTACTTGAGGAGCAGTAAATCCCAGGATCTCAGGCTCCTCTGTCAATTCTGATGAAGTTAAAAATACACAGTAGCAGAGCTGCTGACAAAAATCTGTCCCATAATCCACAAAGAATCATCACTGCCTCTCAGAATTGGAGAAGGGCCATGGCTGTGTACGTCCTCTATAAGGAGCCAAGGATGATCTCAGAAAATCAACCTACTAATTCCATCAATTTACTGGCTTCCTACCTCACCTTTCCAAAGGGACATTTTGTCTTTCAGAAAATCTCAACTACAGTTACTGATGATATAGACCTGGGCCACTATTATCGCTGTTTACAAGGGATAATTCCAGTGCACAAGAATTTCTCCTTTCTGTGAACTTTTATTTTCCTTATTGTCTGCATTATGTTATTTTGTTTTCTAATTTTCTCATTCATGTGAGAGAGGTACACAAGAAAACAGTATTGTTATAGATAAAATACCTGGGGTTCTGTCCTGGTTTTGCCATTTACTATCCATGACCCTGACTAAGCCTATTTGAGAATCAATTTTCACATCTGTCCTATAGGAGTGATTTCTGTGAGGATCAAATGAAATAGTCAAATCAAAGTCCTACACAGGCATGGTCTCTGCCTTCAAAAGGAGGTTTTTATTTGTTTCCACAATTTCAAGTCTTCTCTGGCATCCAGTAGACACACAGACAAGTGATTGACTGGAATTCTCCTTTATAAATAAAGATTTAGAGATAAGGTTGATACTTGCACATTCTGAAAAATTTGCAAAAGGTTGTACTCAGTGCCATCTTACGTAGGAATAAATGTGGCATGATTTCAAATAAATCTATGAATATTCATATATTCCACAAAGATAAACACTAAATCTTGAGTTCCAAAATCTTAATGTGAAAAGAATTTCTAGAACCATGAGCTCTCCATATTTATCCTGCAAGTTCTCGGTGCCTGCTTTTGGTCAAGACTGTGGCTAGCCAGTTGTCAAGTGTATTGAATGATACTAAGTTCTTCAAATGCCTAAGACCTATCACATTTAGAAAGCTTCATCGGAAGTTAGGAAGTCATCCTTAACTTAGAGATTAACGTAAAAGGAACACTCTGAATAAATGCCAGACATTTGTGTTCCCAAGTCACATGGTCTGTCACAGACTCAACTACAAAGCAAGATGATAAAGCAAACCTAAAAAGAACTAGTTGCACACATGGTCAATAGTCTGCCTTGTGAAAGGAGCAACCAAAACAAAGTAAAGAGAGGAGATAGCAGCATTGTTACAGAGGCCTAATCACTTGTTATGAATCATTAATGACTCTACAGAGAAGTATCGTGATGTTCCCAAGGATATTAGCTAAGTAAAAATGCTAAGAAGTTAAAAGAAAGTCACAAAATCACTTAAATTAATAAAAGAAAGTTCCCTTGACATAGGGAGAGTTAAGCACTATATAACATGAGCTTAAAGAAAGCTAAAGAGAATATAGTTACATAAAGGAATGTGACATATAGTTTGCTTTAACATGTCTCAGTTGTTACTGCATTTTTTTTAATATTTCAGGACAAGGGAAATAAAGAGTAGGGTACTATGGCTGAGTGAGGAAGCTTATAATATTTATTGGATCCAACCTTGAGTCAGACACCTTACTCATTGTTTCATATTATTTAATTCTGGCAACAAACCCTACAAAGAAGTTATTTCAGGCTTTACTTGGTATTTACAGATAATGAAATTAAGCTTCAGAGAAGTCACATTGCCCCAAATATGTCTGACTTCCCAGATATTGAATGTACATTTAAATATTTAAATATGAGAGCAGTCCTTGGGGGATGGCTCTCAACAGGTTCCAATGAGGCCAGCTCTCCACAAGTTAAGAGAAACCTGTAAATTAAGTACCTGACAGGCTGGTTTGCCTTAAGATAGGTCCTGGTTGGAGCAGCCAGTTGGAACTGGCCAGAATCCAGGGAGATGAAACAGTCATTAAAAGCAGGGATCGAATGGGCAATGAGTCCAGACTGAATGTCAGGTCCAAAGGAATCCAATGTTGAATGATGAAAGGGGCCCTGGAGGGGAGACTGAAATCCACAACCGGAAAGCAACAGCCACATTAGCAGAAGAGCCAACAAGAATTGCCAACAGGCACTAAGAGATGTCGTGCTAGGCAGAGTATGAAAATGATAGATGTTTGAAGTGAACAATAAGCCACTGAGAGTGAAGGACAGTACACCTTGAACTAAACACTAGGAAAAGTGTAACCCCCCCAGACAACACCTGCTAACATTTTGCCTGTTTCTACACGAACAATTTCTGTTCTAATTCATAAACCAAGAAGCAGCATCAATCAGTAAAATCCATCTTACATGGTATGAATACAAGACCATTAATGGTTTCAGCAAGCTCATCATTTAGTCAACAGAAGAAAAAGTGAAATTGGTATGAAATCCCTGCAGAGGATATGATACGTCTTGAAAGCTGTTATATAATGGGGTGGGAGGTAAGAGTAATGGAAGGGGTTGAATGGACCAACGTAACATACACTCACAGTGGGGATATGCTGAGCAACCCCACTGAGCACTGATTTAGGAATTAATGACCAAAGACAGGAGTATAAAATAGGTACAGTGGGGGGATACTTAGGGAAGGCAGGAGGGTGAAAAGAGGGAATGAAGGTGAGGGGATATGATTGATGGACTTCATATACATATAAGGAGTACAACAGTGAAACCCCTTGCAATTGCTTTAAATGGGGCATGGAGGGGATTGAGGAGATGGCAGGGGACCTAACCAATGTACAATGGAAGTCTATTTGAACTTATCACAATGAATCCCCCGGTACAACAAATACATCCTAATAAAACTGAAGAAAACAATTCATTGCAGAATATTGGCATGGAAATAGCAATTTCTTAGTGAAGCCTTTTAATAGAAAAAAATCATTTGACATGAAGATAGGCAAGTTTAAAAAAAAACATAAACATAATATCAAATTTAAGTAATAATAGGTAAAACATTGTGCATGGTTGGTTATAAAAATGTGAACTGTGGAGAGCTGTAGAAAAAGAATCCTGTGATACAAAGAACACAGACACATCCTGTGAGGTGTTGTCATCTCTACAGACGACAACCAACAAATCCCAAACAGGGTATTTTTATCCAAGAAAGAGTGCTGATAGGAATTTTTCAAGTATTGAATGTTCTCACATAAAATTTTCAACTGAAATGGAGGGAAAAATCTCATCAATACATCCTAAATTATCTAAACTAAAACTATACTTAAAAGCTGAAAATTGATCACAGATAGCTTAGAGAGGGAAACAAATGATTAGCAAGAAGCACCTCATTAAAAATATCACTTCACCACCACACAATCTCTCACACTCCCTATCTACTTCCCTTAGGTCCTCTTCTTTTCTTTATGACACTCTTAGCTTTTCAACAACTGACAGCCCTACTATCATAAAAATTAAGATAGAAAATCTGCTTCAGAATCATTTGCAAAAGCCCCATGAGAAATTTAGAACTGCTAAGTTCAATATGAACAATGGATGAAACACCAATTCTAGCACAGACCAGGGACTGAATCTGATTACATAGAGAAGGAAAAAGTCCACTGCCTGCTCTTAATAACAGGAAATCCATGACTTCAGCAATGTAGAAACAAAAGCCATGGCTTGGAACAAGGGGCTAAATAAATGTGTGACTTTGGTTAAGTTGAGCAAGACAATGACTAGTATTTCTGCTTATGATTCTAGTCATCTGGTTGACAAAAGTAAAATCCTTTAAAATGAGTTGCTGTTTCTCTCACTAAACTGAAGCAAAATGCTTGCATATATGTCTATATGTGCATATAGGTGATAAGAACTAGTTTAGTACTATTTATATTGAAGAACAATCACTTGCCAATTTGGTCAGTCACATACCATTGTAAATTCATGAATCAGGGTATGTTTACACTGTTGGGAACTGTAGTTAGCTAAGGGAGCGCTCATGCCCTGGATCACGCATCAGTGTGTGCAAAGGAGAACATAAATCAAATCTTAATAGGCAACTATGAGCTTTATTCCAAATGGGAAGATTAAAACCAAATGCATTTTATGACTAGCACCAATTACATAAGCAAACGCTTATCAAGTAAATAACCTACAACTACACATCTTTTCTGCTTTTCCTCAAAGACCTACATCTCAGCATACTACTGACAGACACTCTTGGGGATGGAGTGAGGACAGGGGACTACACATACCAGCAATAGTGGCTGATGCTGCTGCTGTTGCCCAGTGATGAGTACAAAGTTTTGAAACTGAGATTGACTGTGCCATTTATTTAAACCCACCCCTCTAAAACACCTAAATATCTTCCCAGAGTTACTGGAATAAAATAAACACTTTTAATAAGATGTAGAGGGCCTCCCACAATACATCCCCCATTGACAGGTGCTCTGTCCTTAGCGACACTGGCCTTTTAGAATATGACCTGCTGCTTCTTCCCACAAGCCCCTGCATATGCTATTTCCTTTGTCCAAAAGGTTCTTCTTTCCTTTCCCACTTGAATCTCAACTTAAGAACTTTTCTAAGGGTAACTCATTCTATCACATGTTTTCATAATACCACTAACTCCCCTCCCCCTTCACCCTGCAACACTTGTTGATGTGTTAAGTTTTATTTGTGAGCTGTTTGGATGCAAATCAGTCTCCCCACCTAGAAATGTAAGGGTCACAAGGAAGAGGTAATATCTGGTTTTGCCCCTCGATGTATTCCAGAACTTAGTACAACTCTGGGTATATAGAGGAAGTTCTTTGGCATTTGGAGAAGAAAGGAAAGAAGGAATGAATGAAATGTTTTGCTATTTTCACAAGTTTCCATGTGGGCCTCCTACCATATTTGCTAGGTTAGCTTCTTCTTATGCTGGACACCTTCCCACCCTGCCTACCCCTAGTCATCTTGTCCTTCTTGTTCCTCTTCTTATATTATTTTATTTATTTATTATTTATTTGTTTTTGCAGTCCTGGAATCACAAGGCAAGCGCTCTACCATTGAGCTACATACTGAGGCCTTTTGATTTTATCCATAGGCCAACTCAGGCTGGTCTGGAATTTTTAATCCAGAGTAGCTGGGATTCTTCTCAGCTACTTCTCTTTTTTTATGCCTTTTGCTCTCTGGTTCTCTTCTCCTGTAGTGCTTATTATTTCATTTTGTTTTGATTATTTAAATCATATTAGGGATAACAGTTTGATTCAATGAGAATCATTTGCTCCTTCTACAATCTCATATTCATGCTAACTCATTTTTTTTGTTTTCTCTATGATTAAAAATTACTTAGGACTTTTCTGAGAATGGTATGAATTACATTTCTTCTTTCTTTTTCATTTAAAAAAAAAGACTAAATTTTATACTCTATGAGGAAACGGGATACACAGAAGAAACAAAAACCTTGATGGGAACACTAGGCGCTTACCAAGGCACTGCCCATTCCAGCCTCGGAATCCTTCTGTGCAGGGGACACACTGGTAAGATCCAGGAGAATTCACACATTGCTCATCTGGACAAGTATTTGGCACTAAACACTCATCAATATCTGAAAAAAATCAAAATTTAGTTCACAAACATTTTATCAGATTACCAAAGTGAAATCTTACTTGTATGGCAAAGGGGAAAAAAGCATGGTTCAACCCTCTTACACTGCTGGTGGGAATGTAAACTAATACAACCATTCTGGAAAAAAATTTGGAGGCTTCTTAAAAATCTAAACATTGATCTACCATTTGATCCAGCAATACCACTCTTGGGGATATACCCAAAAAACTGTGACACAGGTTACTCCAGAGGCACCTGCACACCCATGTTTATTGCAGCACTATTAACAACAGCCAAGCTATGGAAACAGCCAAGATGCTTCACCACTGATGAATGAATTAAGAAAATGTGGTATTTATACACAATGGAGTTTTATGCAGCCACGAAGAAGAACAAAATGTTATCATTTGCAGGTAAACGGATGGAACTGGAGAACATCATTCTGAGTGAGGTTAGCCTGGCCCAAAAGACCAAAAATCGTATGTTCTCCCTCATATGCGGACATTAGAACAAGGGCAAACACAACAAGGGGATTGGACTTTGAGCACATGATAAAAGCAAGAGCACACAAGGGAGGGGTGAGGATAGGTAAGACACCTAAAAAATTAGTTAGCATTTGTTGCCTCAATGCAGAGAAACTAATGCAGATACTTTAAAGTGACTGAGGCCAATAGGAGAAGGGAACCAGGAACTAGAGAAAAGGTTAGTTCGAGAAGAATAAACTTAGAAGGTAACACACATGCACAGGAAATCAATGTAAGTCAACTCCCTGTATAGCTATTCTTATCTCAACTAGCAAAAACCCTTGTTCCTTCCTATTATTGCTTATACTCTCTCTATGACAAAATTAGAGATAAGGGCAAAATAGTTTCTGCCTGGTAGTGAGGGGTTGGGGGGGTAAGGGAGGGGGCGGGGGAAAAAGGGGAGAAATGACCCAAACATTGTATGCACATACAAATAAAATTAAAAAAAAAGAAAACAAACAAACAAAAAAAGCATGGTTCACCTCCATTTCAGTGGAAGAAACAATAACTAGGTGAGAGAGTAGGTCTAGCCTTAAACACATGGCAATCATGCAGGCTATGTACACCTGGATTAAAGTATTTACATACACTCCTAGGAAGAACTTGGCCCCAAGTTCTGGCAGCACCAGGTCTCTTCACTCTGGGAGCTGGCAGCTCCTCCAGGGCCACTTTTTGGACATCAAATCTTTTCAGTAACAAATGCCAGAAAGAAACGCAAGGAATGGGGATGAGCGTGAGGAAGCCATACATTCCCCTGGCTAGAGGATTTCTCTGCAGACATCGCATGCTCTAGAGAAGCCTCCCTTTGGCTTTAAGGATCCAAGAATAGTCTAGGTTTGAAGAATTTAGAACTATTCACATTATATGCATTCCTTGGAGGTGGAAAAAAAGAACATGAACTCATCACACGCTCCCAAGATTGTTCAGAAAATATGGTGATACGAACACATGTAACATTTTCTGGTAAAAATATACTTTACTTTTCACATTTATTATTAACAGAAGCTATTAATCATTATTCTTTTCAATACTGGGGGGAAAAGTCACCTTAAATATTATTGGAGCTGTGGCAGAGATAATTACTATAATAATTTTAGATTTTTTAAGAATGGTGAAAACAACAACCTGGAAAGTTGAGATAGAGTTTAAAATAATTGGTAGTAATTTGGGTACCAGCTTCATTTGAAAGAAGTGTTTGCTCTGATGCTGGATTTTGAATTTCAATAAGTAGATTTCATGTCTGAGTGTCCCCATACAAAATGTGCAGTGCAGAGGACCTCTAGACATAGGCTGAAAATGGAAAGTGAAAAAATGTGTAATTGGTTCACTAAATAAATAATGATAGTATTGATGTTTTCATTTGGACAAATTTTTAACACTTACCTCTTACTACCTATCACTAGATATTTGTGAAAAGATGCTTAAAATGAAAAATTGAAGAAAATTTTAGCAAAATAAGCTCCAAGGACAGTGTTTTGTTTTGGTTTTTTCCCTATCTGTGAAAAACTCTTGCCAATAGACAATGACACATAGTTGCCTTTTTTTTTAATTTAATTTTTTTTAGGTCAGATGTTCTGGGACTTCTTGTCCTACAAAAAAAGATGATGTTTGCCAGTTTCGTTTTCCAAAGAGCATTACATTCTCCTCTGGATGGGAATTTTTTCAAAAAATAGAAATACAACTGCTAAGTTGGAGAATGTCATTGAGACAGGCTGGTCCAATAAATAAGGTACAAAATTGAGCAACACAAGATGACACCCCTGAATTTTCTGCTGCTTACCACAGTGTACTTAGTCCTCATCTATAAGTTAGGGACTATCTGCCTTGTAATATTTTAACACAATGAAGTGAGAATGAACAAGATAATGTCTCTAAACCTCAACGGGCTTCTTGGAGAATAGGGCTATTTGAAAGCAGCTTCGTGAGTGACAGCTGAGAAAATCTTCAGTGAGCCAGAAGCCTGGGGACCCTTGATTCTAGTCCACAATAAATTAGAAAACAGCCACAGTGTTGGCACTTTCTTCCTTTTAAGCCTTTTCATGGGGGCTAGAATGATATATTATTTACTCAGGAAATTTTGGTAATATTTCTTCTAAATAATTTCCATAGATTGAATATACTAAGTATTTTATCAGCTTTCAACCTCATTACATAATTTGCAAATTTCTTTTCTACTCTTTTCTATCCTTATTACTTAAATATCTTATCTGTCCATTCTACAACCGTAACTAGAACTTAAGGATCAGCATTTGACTTCTTTGCACATCAAACAAACTCACCTCCCTTTTTTTGTTTTTACCACTCCCCATAGGTCTCAAGGGACTGAGATTTAAGTAGAAACAAAGAGTCAGGGAAGAGAGAGGTTTAAGGAATCTAAAACTTGAGCCAGACATGGTGGTACATGCCTGTAATCCCAGTTCTCAGGAGGATGAAGCAGGAACTCAAGAGTTCAAGGCCAGCCTAGTCTACATAGCAAGATCCTGTTCCAAAAAAAGAAGAAGAAAGGAGGAGGAAGGAGGCAAGGGGGCAAGGAGGAAAAGAGGAGGAAGAGGAGGAGGAAGAAGTGACAGCACCATCTAAGATAGGACTACATGTGGGCTGGCATGGTGGCTCACACCTGTGATCCTCATTATTCAGGAGGAGGAGATGGAGAGGTTTATGGTTTGAGGCCAGTCAGGGCAAAAAGTTTGCAAGACCCTGTCTCAACCAATGGCTGGGTGTATCCCAGTTACATGGGAAAGCCCAATAGGAGGCACAAAGTGAGATCCTATCTCAAAAATAACCAACACAAACACTCTGGCAGAGTGACTCAAGTGGTAGAGCACCTAGCAAATACAAGGACCTGAGTTCAACCCCCAGTACAGGAAAAAAAAAAGATACAATTACATGCATTTATGTCCATGACATTCTGCAAGTTAACTTCACGCTGCCATTTCACAGCTGATGAGCTAAAGCTGACAGGTGCTAAATAGGGAACTGGCTCAGGTTCTACAGATGAGGGCTGTCAGCCAATTTCAGTCCTTACTCTTTCCATCCCACAGTGTCTCTCCACAGCAGAGGCAGAATTCTCTGAAGAGGACAGTAGGGACTCTTATCCCCTTACCCCTCGGGAGAGGGTTCATGGCTCTGTTCTGATCCAAATTGATCAGACATCCAGTAACATAAAACATTCCCACTTGTCTCTAGATTAGAGTCCAAGCGACCCATGCAAGAGGCCAACAGGAGAGGGAGACATGGGCTGCCAAAGATAGCTAATTAGCTTTCACTCCAGGCCTGGGTCACTGGAGCTGTGAAGAAAACCAATGAGCAGAAGCCAAGGGACAGACTGGCCCACCTAGTGTGTCCCTCCCTCGTCTAGACCCCTGGCCACACCAGACAAAAGGTAGATCTGCAGGCAGGAGCTCCAGGACCACACTCAGATCCAAACTCTCAAACACCAGCTCAGAGACCCCCACACCTTCGCCCTCATGAGTCTACGGTAGGATCTTGGCAGAAGCTAATGTTCTTCTTCAGGAAAATAATTACAAAAAAGTAGCATGGTGGTTTCAGAAATGAACTTGTCCAACCCACAAGAACAGAAATATTAATTGGAAAATAACTCTGGCCATATTATACATATTTTCCAAAACATTTTAATGAGCACAATGTCATGACCATGGTGAGTAATGAAGACATTTTATCCAGCACTGTAGGACTCTGACCCCAGTGGGTCAGACAGTGCTTCTGAATGGACTCTGCAAAAAGTCCCAGACCACATGCAAAAAAAAGCCAAGGAATGTGACAAGGTGAGAAAGCTAAACTTGAAAAATTAGCACTGTTCCACCTGCACCATGTTTCCAGAGGAATGAGCCAGACAGACTTTCTACTAGGACACTTGACAATGAATTATTCTGCAGCGATCTCAGCTCCAAACAGCAGGAAAGGCAGATGCTGAAGTGAAAACTAATGACAGCACCAAGATGGAAAATGATCCAGAAAACCACGGAAGTGAGGAAAAGAGTCCAGGAATCTAGAAAGCAGGAGGATCAGCTGGTGTTGTGCACAGAGAGGGAGACAACCACAGCCAGGCAAGGTGCCCCACACAGCCCTGAAGTCTGGACCCACATCCTGCACTTCACCATCACCAGCATCTACCAGTCCTGCAGACTCACCCTCACAACGGCCTCCCCGGGTCATCCGGAAGCCACTGTCACAGTACTCACACCGGAAGGCCCCCATGGTGTTGATGCAGCGGCCCTCCCCACACACGTCGGCCCTCAGGCACTCATCCACGTCTATGTGAAACACAAAATATTGTCAAGGTCTATTTTCCAAGATGTCTATTGTCAAGATCTGTTTTCTTTCAAATGTGAAAACGAAGTAATTGATGTCTCCTGTGATCCTTTTCATTTGCTTCAAAGTCACACAGTTTTGATGCACAGGGGAGGGAGAGATCCAAAGTAACATTTCATGCATGTTACCTGTCTTTGCTCCCCTTTGACACTCCTTCAAAAGTGCTGGAGGGAAAAAAAAATCCACTTTACATCTCCCAGTGCCCAACATATTGCTGTATCAAAGCAGATGCTTAATCAAAAATTCTGGGTTGTCTGAGTGAGAACTGAACTGATGGGGTCCTGGGGGGATGGAAAACCCTGATCTGAGCAGTTATCCATCAGTTAGGACACTGTCATTACCTATGCAGTTGGTACCCTCCTCACTGGCCATAAATCCTGCTGGGCAAATGCACAAGAAGCTTCCCTCGGTGTTTTCACAGCGTCCTTGGGTAGCAGAGGTGTTGCACCTGAGCACATTCATCAATATCTGTTAACAAAAATATGTGGGAAAAGATCAGCAAAAAACTCAGGCTCCCTGTTCCGTAAAACACCAGCCTGCTGTTCCATAAGACCTTCGTCATGGAGGAGACATGATCTTTCTCTCTCAGATCCATGAAGAACTATTAATAGGAATATGGAAGCAGCTTATTGTACGTGCTTCAAAGGCACAGAAAAACCATCACAAAGAGACAGATTTTAGATCATGAGAGAAGAGCTATGCTAAAAAGTGGGGTCATCTGAGCACCGGAGTTCCTGTCAGTAGGACAGTTAGGGGCTCTTCCACTGTGCAGCAGGTGGAGCTGGACTAGGTCATCTCAGTTGCCTTTTCTGCTGAATATTTTAGGTTCTAAAGGTGAACACATAGATTGCACACACATAACGCACAAACAGCTGTGTGCATGCCTCTTTTCCTTCCCATGCAGACACACAAAAGTCATACACATTGTAGTACTAGAAATGTGCCTTTGTTACTTTATTTTATCAATGCCTAAAAACTTAGTGCTGAAGTTTCTTTTTAAAAAAAAGAGAGAAATTAAATTGAGGGTTAACACATTAAGATGTTTTACTTAACCCTATTACATCTCTTTCTGAAATACCCCCCAAAATATGTGGGATCCTTTATTTATAAATTCATTAATAGCTTCATGCTAGCATATAGGGATTTTCAATTTAGAAATCTCTCTTAAAAATCGTATTTCATGTACTTAAGTGAATTCTTTGTTGCAGCATATATTAATTTGTTTCTGATTGCAGGTACCTATTGCTAAAGCTTGTATTTCATTTACTTTATCAAAAAGAAAAAACTTTGTAAATTATTTCACCTCTGTGGCAAAGTAGGTACACTTGAACAAAGAAGTAAGAGAATCCTGGGAGTTTGGCAAACTTTTTTTTTTTTGGAGTTCCCTTAGCTGAGAAATAAACATGTAACAAAATCAAATAGTAACATTTTCCCCAAAGATGGTTAAATTGATTTAAGAAAAAATTATGCTCTAAATATGCAAACACTTCATACTTAATAGTTATGCCTATCAAAAGCATCTCTTACCAACACACTTTCTCTGCTGCTCACTGAATCTGTAGCCCTCGTAGCATATACAGGTGTACCTCACCGGCAGGTTAATGCAATGCCCTGCTCCACAGATGTCAGGGTTCACAGTGCATTCGTTTATTTCTTTAAAAGTAAACAAAATAATGTGAAAAACACAGACATGAACACAAAGGTTTGTATTGCTTCTGAAAACCATTACTTTGTGTTTCCCAACTAGGTAAGCAAATTATTGCTAGGTATGCACTTAGAAGACAAAGGTGATCTAGGAAATCAATTATAATTTCTGACAATTACTTTATGATTGATTAGTCACACTCAAAGTCATCAGTAGTTCCTAGTAAGACAATTTCTAAGATGAACTGGAGTAGACACAGAGAAGGAGGTCATGTCGAAAGAGGTAAGAAAATCAATTTTTTGAAAGAAAGATTTAATTTGGAGGACTTAGAAAATGCATAGCTATGCTCCTCACGGAAGGGTCGTATATGCTAAGGACACATGGGCCACCAGAGTGGTCATTTCCCTGGTGGTCAATTTTGTTCTTTTCTGTGATTTCTTTTTCTTTTGTATTTTTATTAGCATACATTTAAAAAAATCAATTCTTAATAAGCAATTTCCAATGTGGACTGTCAATGAATTTCTGTCCTCTATATTACTTTAGATGAGGGAGTTTGACCCCATCACTGATTTCTCCTGATAAGAAATATATGGCAACTTTCCCCTCATTAGCAAGCCAAATTTGAGTCCAACAAAAATGTCTAAACTCCCCCAAAATATTTCACCTTCATCCTCAAGACAGACTGCACACTTCTTCTGTGATACTTCTAGGTGTGTCTTAATTTGCCAGTTTCCATGTGAGCATATTTTAGTTATAATGGCAAAGTAGAATCTTCTTCCCAGTCTTCTGCTAAATCCCCTTACCCTCCTTCTGACGCTTGTGTGAGACTTCTCTGTGCCGGCAACACTGGCCAAGTCCCCACTCCACTCACATGTAACTATGGTGGAGGAAGGTTCATAGGAGTGCATCAGAATGAACTTAATTAACAAAAGGACACAGAGGCTGGATGCAGTGGCTCAAGCCTACAATCCTAGCTACTCAGGAGACAGAGATCAAGAACATCTTGGTTCCAGGCCAGCCTGGGCAACGAAAGTACACGAAACTCCATCTCAACCAATGGCTGGGTGCAGTGGTATCTGTTATTCCAGCAGCATGGGAAGCATAACTAGGAAGATCAGGGTCCAAGCAAGCATGGGTATAAACGTAAGACCCTATCTAAAAAACAACTAATGCAAAATGACTGGAGGCCTGGCTCAGGTCGTACAGAGGCTGCCTAGCAAGTACAAGGCCCTGAGTTCAAACCCCAGTACAGGAAAGAAAAAAGTGGCCTCCTGTGTTGAATTACCCAAGCCCAACAGTTCCTATTCTCAATGGCCTTAAGTGCTGGCTTGCAGTTAGTACAGGGACAAATCCTGTCGCTGCCTTTATAGTTCAGTAGCATGGGGCAAGTTACTCAGCCATTCTAAGCCTCAGTTTTCTACAAGTGCAAAATAGAAATAACCAGAGTTCAAACTTCAGGGCATGAGACTGAAAAGAAAAATTCTAAGTAATGGATCTAGCTTAATGCCTGCTGTGTTACATATGCTCTGCAAAGGCTAGTCATCATCGTCACTGTTCCTGTTGTTCACACTGAAGTCACTTAAGAACATACAGCAAAGAAGGGCTTGGGATGGGGGGGCATGCCTGTAATCCTAGACACTGGGGAATCATAGTCTGAGGCCAGCCTGGGTAAAACTGCAAGATCCAAGCTGAAAAATAAACTAAAACAAAAAAAAAAAAGGAGGGGGGCACTGGATGATTAGCTTGAGCACTTAAAACTAAGTGACTAACAGTAACACACAAATCATTGACTTGTCATACATATATAGCATAGATTATGCAATCACTAGTAGTTCAGGGAAATGCTTATGAAAAAGAACACAGAATAAGATCTCAGTTACACGAAATGTTATCATTCGCTGGTAAATGGATGGAATTGGAGAACATCATTCGGAGTAAGGTTAGCCTGGCCCAAAAGACCAAAAATCGTATGTTCTCCCTCATATGCGGACATTAGATCAAGGGCAAACACAACAAGGGGACTGAACTTTGATCACAAGATAAAAGCAAGTGCACACAAGGGAGGTATGGGGATAGGTAAGACACCTAAAAAACCAGATAGCATTTGTTGCCCTCAACGCAGAGAAACTAAAGCAGATACCTTAAAAGCAACTGAGGCCAATAGGAAAAGGGGACCAGGAACTAGAGAAAAGGTTAGATCAAAAAGAATTAACCTAGAAGGTAACACCCATGCACAGGAAATTAATGTGAGTCAACTTCCTGTATAGCTATCCTTATCTCAACTAGCAAAAACCCTTATTCCTTCCTATTATTGCTTGTACGCTTTCTTCAACAAAATTAGAGATAAGGGCAAAATAGTTTCTGCTGGGTATTGAAGGGGTGGGGGGAGAGGGAGGGGGCGGAGTGGGTGGTAAGGGAGGGGGTGGGGGCAGGGGGGGAGAAAGGACCCAAGCATTGTATGCACATATGAATAATAAAAAATAAATAAATAAAAATAAAAAAAATTTTTAAAAGATCTCAGTTACACTATAATATATACAGGAAAGAAGACTGGGAGGAAATAGTCCAAATTTTGCTATTTGTGGACTGGCATTTTCTTATCCATACTTTTCTGTATTTTTAAGATTTCTATGGGAAGCATGCATTAGTACTTTCTCAATCAAGAAAACGCTTCCTTAAAAAAAATTTCTAGGGCCATGCATGGTGTGATGATGCACACCTGTAATCCTAGCTACTCAGCAGTAGGAGATCAAGAAGACCACCGTTTTGAGGTTAGGCTGGGGGATAGCTCAAGTGGTAGAGTGTCTGCCTAACAAGTATGAGCTCCTGAGTTCAAACCCCAGAACTGCCAAAAAAAAAAAAAAAAACTATCCACAGGTTTGAGTCTAACTTGGGCAAAAAGTTAGTGAGACCCAATCTCAACAAAAAAGCAGGTCATGGTGGTACACATCTGTAATTCCAGCTATGAAAAGGCATAAGTAGAAGGATTGTGGTCTGAGGCTTGTTCTGGACAAAAACCCAAGACCCTATCTGAAAAATAACTAAAGCAAAAAGGGCTAGAGGAGTGGCTCAAGCAGTAGAGCGCCTGCCTAGCAAGCATAAGGCCCTGAGTTCAAGTCCCAGTACCTCCAGTGTGTGTGTGTATAAAATTTCTGCGTGTGGTAAAATTCTGAAAGTACAAGGTACTCTTCACCAGATTATACTCTTAGACTCTTGGGTAACAATTCTGTTCTCTGTAGGAATTTTTCAGTGGGCTAGTGTAAGAAACACATCTCTAGCCATCTTTCCTATATTACAGGTAGATGCCTCCTTGAAATATGATTGAAACTAAGATTTCTGGGTAGCCTTTGTAATTATTGACTTCCCTTTATACTCTTCTCTGCCATTTTCATAAAACAGGAAAGACATGCTGTCCATATTTGCAAAAAGAAAATGAATTCATTAGAAGATGAATTAATATCCTTGGGCACAGATTTAGAACAAACTCAAAGGCTGTAACTCTGGGACTGGTGACAGGCCGGATGAGAAGATACTGCCACACTCTCACGCACACCGATTTTGTGATTATCAAATGTTTATTATTTTGCAGCATGTCTTTAGGATGTGAATAAGAATTGTCAAAAGTATGTGCTGCTTAATTCATGTTGACTTAAAAATTTTTTAGTGTTTTATTCATTCATTTGCTTGGTGGTACTGGGGTTTGAACTCAGGGACTTGTGCTTGTTGGGCAGGTGCTCTACCACTTGAGCCATGTCTGCCAGCCCTTGTGATGCTTAATTCAAATATGATATGTTCCTATGGAGCAGTTTGCCAATCTATTTAAATTGATTGTTCATAAATTGACTGTAAGGTAGGAGAGATGGTTAAGAATTCTAAGTCTTTAGTCTTAGGAAATGAAATTAATGGCAAGGGCTAATAATTCAGAACCCTAAATAAAAGCTGTAGGGCAGAAGTTACACTGGTGAAAACGGTGGAGGTTTAGTTGATTATCTCAGAGGTTAAGTACACAGAGAAAAACACTGCTCTTGGCCGCTCTTCGTAACATGGGAATGTTACATGACGCCACTAGAGGGTACTAGGAGCCACATCAAGGAGGAAAAGGACATTTCCTGAAAAATACTTGACTTCTACATTGGTTGTCCCATTTTATGCAGTGATTAATTAGTGTAACTTTCAACATTTTGACCTCAGGAGCATTTTCATCCACTTGCCAGGGAAGGTTCCCCCCTTCTAGACAGATAGCAGCAGGAGCCATGACTCCTTCAAAACTCTGCGTTCTGTTGACTATTCATCAAAAAGTCAGTTTTTCTTAAGGTAAAAAACAAATGGCTGATACTCATATTTCAAAACTCTTAAAATATGTCTTCCTCAGCTCTCCCTCCTTTCCTATTAGGTTTTCCTTCTCAATTACAAGTACAGAATCCAGAAAGGTGAGCCCTGAGGAAAAGTTTTCTACTTTGTAGGGCAAAGATAATATAATGTGCTTTATATTTTTAAGGGCTTTGGGTATGGCTTAAGTGGTAGAGAGCTTGTCTATCACATGCAAGGCTTTGAGTTCAAACCTCAGTACTGAAAAAAAAAAGTTAAGGAGTCACCACGGAGCCTCCCACAGGTGGAAAGGAGAAACATGCATTTCTTTAAGCAAACTGTCAACATGAGCTCTGGAAAGAGGCCTCTGACACCACAGAGGCAAGGCCTCCCACAGGCAGCACTAGTTACCGGCCTCAGAGGGAACACTGGTAAAGGGAATACCGACCGTATCTCCTTCAGCTTCATGGCATCCCAGAGAGATGGTCAAGATAGCGCTCCCCACTAGGGTATTATATGTCCTTCTAATGCCCACCCATAGGCCTCTTGGTTCAGGGGATGGCTGTACCCTTTCTCCCTCTATGTGCCCCCTGAACAACTTCCCCTTCACTGAGTCAAGGACCTTATTCTATTTCTTTTGCTACAGTCCACTTAGAATTTGGAAGAACAACCATGGTCAAAGTCAATAGAAAGCCAAATT